AACAGTTTAAAACTTAAAATACCAGGATACTAAAATAACTCAGTATCACCAACCTAAACTTTTAATTTTTTCTTTAATTTTTATTTAAATAAAGGGAAAAAAATCTAAAACTGGAAAACGTACCGAAAACCGTCAACGAGGTACTTGCTTACTTTTTTTAAGTACTGAATTCGGTACAAACGTACTGACGCTGGCAACACTGCGCACAGATCATAGGACAATGATACAAATTCAATCCCTACCACAGTGGGCGTGGTTTGGCACTTGTTTTATTTAAGTGTATCTATTCGTTTTAATACACACTGTATATATATAATATTACTAGCTATAGCTAAAAACTCAATGAAAAGAGTTTTTATATTAATATTAAGACAGTGTCCAGTATCTCCAATATTTTCGTTTAGAAAATGTATTCACTCAGCAGGGGCTCTCCCTTTGATTCTCGTTTTGTAAATAGCTTCACGATTTTGATTGAAAACGCTTGTCCTAGAAAATAGAGAAGAAATATCTCGACTGGATGCCGTTCGAATAGTCGAAAACGAAATTTATCGCCATCTTCTCGAGATCATTTGGGGCCAAATTGAAATCCAAACAGGCAGTAATTTTACCTTCCGCGGTGAATAAAGATTTAACGGCGGCACAACTTTAACCAGAGACAGCGCTAGTTAAATGTTTGTTTATTTTCAGACGTGTAAAACAAACTTCACGAATAAATGATGTGATTTCTCGGTGAAAATGACTTTTGATATCGTAAATAACCGCTGCCATGTTTACGTATAAAAGGATGGAGGGGTCGTGCATAAGGATCAAGTGTGCCGCTCGAGACATTTTCAGGGCACGTGACTGCCTCATCTCACAGCCACCCTAAGCTTTGTATTTTGTGGCCTACTCGATTTTGCAGCAGCTACTGATGATGTCGAATGATACAATTTCAAAATAAAAATTTTACGTAGAATTTAAAAATGCAATAATATTATATGAGAACAAAACACAAAAAAAAAATATTTATCATGCACATGGTGCTCTATTTAGAACGTGCCATAATCGAGATTTTGCATATTTGTTCAGTAGGTACACCTGGAGCGTTCTGCATTTTAATATTTATTACACCTATACGAAATTACTTTGAATTTTCCAGAACATGTTCCTACCGTTGATTATTTCCCCTATGCTTGCACCGATAGCAACTAACTGCTATTTAACATTTTATACAAATAGTTTCGAAAAATATTAAAGAAATTACGTTCTTAATCTAAATCAGAAACTATCTTAACATAAATATGTTTATCTTTTTATTCGATAAAGAAATACCTTGTTATGGCCTAGGCCGATAAAATTTTTTATGAGGCAAGTAATTAGTTCGATTTTTTCTCGCTAGGGGTATTGTTTTGACAAATTAATCCTTTTCTAAGAAATTAACGTACTAAACTGGTTTAATTTATTTATAATAAGCACTAATTTGTTTTTTTAACTGTTAATGTTTAATATTTTTCATTAAATTATTGTAAAATTAAATATGAATAATAAAACAAAAAGTGAGGTTAGGCAACCAAGAAAACGCACGATTCTTTTACTACGATTTAAATTATCTTTAAGTTTTAATTTGCTTTTCAGTTTTCAGTGAAATTAAATGTTAAACACGGCTAAAACATTCCAAACTACCTATTTTTTAAATAAAAATCCAAACAAATTGAAATTAGATTATTAAACAATTAATTGAATTCAATGTAAAAGCAAAAATCCATTTCTACTTAAATCATGTTGCTAGGTATTGTCAAACTATTACTGCTTCTAAAAGCAATAATAATTATTGTACATTTAATGTAATTTTTAGCTAATAAATAAATGAGATTCTAAAAAAGTGAGGTTAGGCCGCTTTGATGTTGAATTAAATTGACCTATATAAAGTGCTTTGAAGATAAAATGTTGTATGCCATTCGGCCAAGAAGTGCCTTTTTGTGCTTCGCTCAATTGTAGGCCTCCGCTACGCGTCGGCCGTCAAACCTTGAGCTTAGCACAAAAAGCCTTACTTCTTAACCTAATGACATAAATAACTATTTATGCTAAAATTTTGTTTCTTGCCGCTAATAATTTTTTATACTTTAGTTTAAGGGCACCTTTTTTCAGTGCATACATACAAAAAATCTAATTCTCGTATTATTCAAAGATGAAATCAACAGAGGTGAGGGCGTTTAGGTAATTACAGCGTCACAGTGACATGCCGGTGCCTGTACCGTGTGTAGGAGTTTCTCATTCTTGAAGTCCTAATTACTTTGCGCGGGATAAATTATCTCTCAAAGGATGGGACATGGGGGGGCAGAGGGGGCACGTTATCAACTTCAACGATAAATACCTCCATTCATTATCGAAGTGTCACGAGCATTGACGAAAAATGAAAGAAAAAAATTTCCGTAATTAATCATATTGCAAGTTCGGAGCATTTTAAGACCCCATCAATGTCTGTTTTTAAGGAAATCAATATCGAAAATGCAACTTCAATATCTAAAGTTCAATACATAATACTACACACATAAATATAAATACAAAAAAAAAAAAAAAATTTAATAATGTAATAATTATTAACTACACATACATTTGGTGGGTAATCCTATCAAATTCCACTAATTTAGCAGCTCTTTCACAAATTCCAAACCAAACATTAAGTAACACAAGAAACAATCTTCCAAAATGTCGGACACTTCTGTTTTTTATAATAGGGCAATTTATTTACCTATTTATTAAATACCCCGGGAGGTCTATATACGGTATACCGTATGTTTAGATAATCTAAACATTGACAATTATTCCTAATGTCCTCTGGATCAGAGATCACATATAAAGAGATTATTCATCTGTATACGTTGATTTAAAAACGTCTTTATCAGCTTCGGTAGAGAAGAATAAAAAATGCTTGGAATCTATATGTGTGGCAAGGCATTAATTAAAATCATTTTAATTATACACATTTGTGGCCCTAATCGAACATTGTCCATTGAAATTTGTCGTGGGAACATATAATTTTCGAGTGCGGATCGATTTTAAAGCTCGATTCTTTTTTTATTATTTAACGAAAGTATGCAGCCGGTTCATAATTTACAAATTACACGGTGCACGGTACTCGCAACTCCAAATTAATTAACTAATGTGGGGCCGCACAATAGACTCAAAATGCCATCATGGACCGTAAAAGGAAAGCTATTTTTTTTTCATTCCAACCAATTTTTGTTTTATTTTTCGTCTTCCCATATTACATTACATTGCACAACTTGAATTGTTCAGCAGAAGTATTATCGTGAGAAAAAGATATTAAGTAAGTAAGTAATATTTATTATTGATAATTTACTTGTTAATTATTAAATAATATCGATATAAAAAGATAACTATGCCAAAAATAATATTCTTTTCAAAGCGAAGATTGTTATCCGCTAGGAATACTGGGCCGTAGTCACCTATATTTAACTACTTTTTATATGATTTTACTCGTCTACGCACCACCAAAGCCAAATTAATTGCATTTTTAACTTCACACTGTCTCATATAAAAAAAATGCCGATTTTTAATGAACAAAAATCAATAAAATCACACATTATTGATTTGAATTATAAATAACACCTAAGTGGTGCTCAATATTCAAGTTGGTATAGGAAGAATTTTGATCAAGATTATTTACATAAAACTCGAGATAAGGATCTCGGTTTTTTTAATTAGGAGTCACCAGATAAGAAACATTTTACAAGATTTACTATCGGATCGTACGAAATAATTGATAAAATTTTATTTTTAAGTGTTGCCTATTATATTGAGACGTTTTTAATTAAAATGGAATTCATTACAATAAAATGCATATTAGGTAATAGTTTTATTTACGTTTTGGGACTTGGAAAATGTATACATTTTAGTATACTCACTTTGCATATATGCAAAAGAAGAAACTTTATAACGTGTTGGAAACTTTTTAAAAGCAATTTTAAATTGAATTGCTCGTCTAGAAGTTTTCTACGGGGACACTGCAAAGTAAACAAATATTTGTTTATTTTAACCAAATATTAAGGAGATTTTATGTTTATCCCTAATTATAATTAATCATAATCATACATTTTGAAAATTAGAGCCTGACGGAAAATAGCTTCACGGAGGTTAGGATTTCGTATTTTTTTTAAACATCCCTTTGTATATTTAAAATAACTTATTGTATCTTTTGACACCTTAATATTTTTAAAAATTATTTATAAAAAAAATCTTCTTACTGGGATATAATACTGGATAGGTTTTTAAATAGCAAATTAATGAACTTAAACTTTTGAATTACCTATAAAACAGCAACACTTTTATCTGCATATAAATTCTAACTGACCTTCAGGAATCACATGCATCTATAATGTCGTAAACAGAGGTTTTTGCTTATTTAAAATGATTAAAGCGCCATCCGTTGCATAAAATTTAAAGCAAAAACAGATTCACGGAGGATAGAATCAATTTTTGTAACACCTACTTAAATGGTTATAAAAATTATTTCTTTTAATTTTTAATAATATTTTATATTTGATTCGATTGCTTTGGATGTGTTTAATTTACTTGGTGAACTGATATTTTTAGTATGATTTTACTACCTCAGATATTTGAAAACTTATAGGTTAACCTAGAAAGAGTAACAGTCACGGAGGATAGGTTTTAGACTTTTAAAACATTGTAAAAAATAATTAATTATGAAAGATCAAAACACAATAAAAGTGTAGGTCAAACAAATTTAGTTTAATTAGAGATTCACCCATAGACATATAAACGGACTCAACCAAGATGGCAGACGTATGAAAGATAATTCAAAGTTCAGACTGAGGAATGCGAATTGTCACACTTCAACGAACTTTTCGGTCTTCGATTTTTTTTTCGTAATGTTTTATTTTTCCCGAATGCCACTTTTCTCAAATCGCACCGTATGAATCTTCTTGATGCCGCGAATTTATACGGGCGCCAAGTTTTACTTTAGATACCGAGGAAATATGGGACGTCTTATTCAGTATCAAAGAGACTTGATGATAGGAGAAGTAAGTAATTTAGAGGAACTTTTTTTTTTTTTAATTTTGACAGAAGATTATGAACAAACCATATTTAACCGGCACTAATGATTTACAAAATACCGTCTTTTGTGCCTACGCCTATTAGCGTTAAATTCCCCCTTGAAATTTCAACCACCGTAAAAATTCCTTTATGCCGATGCACGGCACTTTAATAAACAAATCAAGCCATAAATATTCATTTTGTTGTTTGGAAGAGAAATAAAGAACGAAAGAAAGAAAAAGGGATCCCGTCTCTCCATTCACAAAACACACAACAAAAACAATTATCAAAACATAACTGTCAAGTTGCCTTGACTTATGCCAATGCTCTCTCGATCCTTTTGTGTTGAAAAAGGAGCGTGAGATGAGTGAAAATAGCCTCCTTAAAAAATATTTAAATCCATTTTGAAATATTCAAATTTGATTCGATTTGATTTGACCGTCACAAATCGTCAATAAACCTCAATTATCAAGTGGCATATGAGAACGAGTTAATTTCAATATCCAGCAATCCGTGACAGGGCACCAGATGGAATGCATAAGCTTTTAGATTATACACTGGGATACAAAAAAAAGTTTTTCTAAATGTAAGAATATCTTTATTAAAAAAATCACTTGATTTAAGTATAATTTTCTTAGGCTAAGAATGCATTAAATTTCTTTTAAATATTAACATATCCTTAAATTAAAAAGTTTTTAGTTCTTAGCTTAAAATCAAGTACAGTTGAAACAAGATGATTGACCTAATATTGTCAAGGCTAAAACATTAAATGTTAAGAAAAACTTTAAATAAAATAATCTTATTCTTAATTAAAGATTAATAATCGATTACAACAAATTTTTTGTTGTTGAAATAAGAATAAGTTTACCCTTGCACCTAACATTAAAATTATATCCAAATAAGTATAAGTTAGTTCTTGCATTTAACTCCCTATATCCTTCAAATAAGTATTTATTTAAATTACAAATAAGAATAAATTAATTCTTAAATAAAAAGTATCTATACTTGCGAAATGGTTAGAATAACATATACTTGGACTGATATGATTAATCTTTAATATAGAATAGCTTTTTTGCCGCGTATGTAATGTAATGTAATGTCCAGCCTTTATTGTTTTAAATGTTTCTTCTCAGCACCAAAAGCAAGCAAGCAGTAGCAGAGCTGCCTTTTCCCATCCATTGTTTCAAGATTCTTTCTTAATATGGTATGCGGCATACGGATTTGTATATATGGACTTTCAATATTCATGAGCGCATTTTTTACAGCTACTATCTGCGATCACTTTGCTTTTATTAATTCCATCTGCACAGAAGCTCTATAATATGCCAAACTGACATTTTTTATTTAATTAATTTAAAATATTTTTTTTTAGTTAAAAATATATTTTTAATTCGCAGAATAAAAATAAAAATTCTTATATGATGTCAAACATCCGTAAATTCATTAAAAACTAAAAACCTAATGAAAAATCTTGGGTGTCGATTTGAAGGCATTCCTCGAGATCCAAATGCCAATAAAGAGCCGCTTTTCCAATAATTCAGCGTCAAATAAAAAACACACAGACGAAGAAAAAAAACTGGACAAGAAAAGTTTTATAACGCCGACCCGTCGACGTGTGTGGCCCTCTGGATTTTTCGATTGTAAACATGAGCCCGGCCGAATTCATTACAAGCCTGAACATGAATTAATCTTTTTTTTTCTTCTAAATTCTAAAGACTAAAAATAATTTATAATAACCTTTATCCTACCAAAAAGTACGCCACTGATCGGCCAGGAACATTAGGCTAATCTGGTTGCCTTTTTTATGTTGTGGTTGGTAACAACAAAGTTGCCAGATTTTGTTTAAATTTAATTTGGCGTTTTTATTAATTTTTAAATAAATAAATATTGTTCACACACGTTTGTTGGGTGGGAAGCAAATTTAAAAGTCGTTTTTGACACTTACGCCCTTTCTATATACGTCGCGCCATAATTGATGTTTAAATAAAACAGATGCACTTGCTAATTGGCGTTTAATTGAAGCTTTTAAAAGTCAATAAAGCATCCACTAAATCCAGTGGTGTTTGTTGTGGCATAGTACAAAGCGTGTGAGAGAATTTTTTTTTGAGAGAGAGAAAGAAAATATTATCGCAAAGCAATTTTGTAAAATAAACACTGACAATTGATTTGTAGTGGCTAGGTTGTTATAAGATAAATATACTTTTTTAGTTAAAAAATAAAGGTATTCTTACATTTTTAAAAGTTAATATATCAGTAATTAAAGTAGTGGCATAGCTAAAAAAATAATTTTATTTCGAGGAGAGAAGAAATTAAAGAAAGGCCATGTTCTCAGCGTTCGGCTCGTTGGTCGTATTGCATGTCTTGGCGTGGCAAAGTGACCACGACCATGTATTGACGATGCTCGATTTATAGAAGAACTGGACCGATGGAATGTTATTGTTTCCAGCTAGGGACTTACACTCTTTCTCGCTATGGTAATACTGGTACTGGTACTCCGCCAGTACTGCAGTACACATTCGCTTAAATAATCAGATCGATTTCAAGATAATACACTGTTACAGCATTTTGTTAATTTCAAAGTTACAGATTATTTTGTTAATGTTTACAAGACCGCAATTTAAACTATTATTTATAGGTATATGATTGGCTCAGAAGCATGCCTGAACTAATTTAGACTCACGATTGGCGTTAGCCTTGTTATCTCGTTCTATTACAATGCGATATAATAGTTGTCTCCTTCTCTCGTATTAGCATACGCGAGGCAGGCACGCCTACATCCAAGGAAATAAGCAGGTGTTGTGGCAACACTGTTGCGGAAGTTTAGATAAATTATACTTCACACGTTTTTCAAAATTCAATAATAAATGGTTTTATTTTTCTTATAATAAATCGATTTAATCGAAATTATATTTTTATTCTAAAATAAACATATTTTAACACTATCGCCATCTTGTTGCCATCACAGTAACCAATAAAATAAATACAGATGCCTTCTATAGGTTTGTTTTGGTTATAAAATTCTGAACTGTTTAAGGAACAAATCTGTGGTTATTTACGCAATATTTTGTTTATTCTTTTTCTATGAGTTTATGATTCTTTTGTAAGTGGTTTATTCTGTGGGTTTAGTTAATTGAACTTGGTGATTTATGTGTTGTAGTAGTACTAATAATTATATTGTACCGAATTTCTTTATAATTTGATGATTTCAGAATGGTGTGTGGTTTAATTGTGTGTATGGTTTTTTGTTTAGAAAATTAATTAATAAAACAAAATTTTTTATTAAAATTTTTTTTATTTAACCACAGGTCAAGTTTTTAGGTAAGTAGTGTACGAAGTCGGTTTTTTCTTTTAATTATAAAATCGACGTTACAACTGTCAATAAAAATACCTTGTTAGCTGGAAAACGCATAATTCATGTGATTTTTTTAATTGGGTGTGTCCCATTAGAAATGTTGTTTGCTTCCATAAACTAACAAATGTTAACAGTGAAATTATTGAATGTGTAGTATTTTAAGTCGACAAGCCTTACTGTCTGTTAAACGGCACGAATTCCAGATTCCGAATGAAAAAAAGGCTTCACACTCCGCACAAGGCCTTTAAACGGAAATGCGACCGAATTAAAAAACGAAAGTCGAAACAAATTCGATTTGATATACCCGAGAAGATATTTTGTTACTTTATACAGGATTTTTCTCATTCCTTGTCCATTTAAGTCTATTTTATAAAAATTGGATTTGGTGGTGCTTAGATGAGCAAAATCATATAAAAAAGTAGTTAAATATAGGTGACTACGGCCCAGGAGAGAAAAAGTATTCCTAGCGGATAATAATCTTCGCTTTGAAAAGAATTTTTATGAAAGAAATTAAATTTTTTTGTGGTATTTATAGACAAATTTTTGGCAAGAATAGCCAGGACCGGCCTTAAAATTTAATTGATTTAGAGCAAAAAAATATTAGTATAAAAATAGAGGAACGTGGAAAGAGATAATTTAATTGCGATTTAAAGTTGTTTTGACAGAAATTACTGCTAATTTATGCTCAAAGTGGCTAAATTATATGCTGTTAATGGCACAAACGCAGTGCTAGTGCAATTTTTACTTTTTACATTGCCCAGACATTTTCACTGCATTCTGCACAGTTCAGACATGTCAGGGATATAAATTTGTTTGTTGGGGATTTTATCTCTAAATACACACTAAAAAACTATTTTTAATTTTAACCAAATATTAACCAGGTTTTATGTTAATTCAGGTCCATACAACTTACAAGGAACTGTATTCTGTTAATTAATTAATTTTAATTTTGCAAACCTTTTTGTATTCCCACTTTTGTTGGAAATTGGAAACTTAAATAAAAAGCATTTTGATAAGAAATGTTGGTTCATTAATCAATTTTCTAAACAAAAAAATTAACACATACCTATATAAATGAACACAAAATAAGTTGAAAACTTGTTGATGGGTATTGTCAGTGGGAAATGTTTTTCAACTAAATAATTTGTTTAAACATTAACAAAATATCCTGTAACCTTAAATTAACAAAATTTGCATATAACCTTTTATAATTTATTGAAGGACCACAACATTGTCTAAATTCGTATAACATTCTCTTCTTATATTATAATAGATTCCAGTCACGGAGTTCTGGTGAGGACTAAGGGCTCAAAAACCGCGTCCGCCAGCCGATCCGACCGATAATGCACACTCCACCCCCTCGAACCATGTCCTCCACTCTGCAAGTCCGTTAGAGCGAGAAGAAACATCTTCAAACTAATATTTATCGCCTTCCCTACGATTATTTACTTTGCAGAAAAGGCTCGCCCTGCATCTTAAACAAGAAATTTCATCTCGACATCGTGAAAATAATAACAATAACATGGTGGGGGGACTTTAAGCCGTCGGTCTGTTCGCACCCCTTAATCAATGTCAACTTCCCTTAATTAAGATATTTACAATCTGGGCCCATAACCTAAAATTTGAAAGAAATGCACCAGATTCTGTCACAAAAGTTGCCAGATTTTGTTTAAATTTTCCTGAATTACACAACACTCTGTACTATGCTCCACACCTCAAAGTCCCACCACGTGACCACGTACGGAACGCAGTCATTTGAAAATTCGGCATTTAAGGCTTTTCAGGTTATGTGTCTGTCAAAGTATAGTCAATGAAAGAAATAATATTTATAGTGTTACCGCTTATGTTTAAGCGTTAAAAGTCAATAAATCTTTATAGTATCACAATAACAATGGTTGGTTTAAGAATTTAGGAATATACATACTGCATTTAATGAAATTCCAAAGTGTAAGATGCAATATAAGTTATATTTTTGTGCATTGGGTCTACATTTTAACTAAACAGCATTTATTTAAAAAAATCTAACTTCTCTATTATGAAATAAGAATATCTGTATCAAAGGTAGGTTAATGTATAAGAACAAAAAATATCATCTAATTTTGTATTTTAAGGTTAGAAAAAACAATTTTGACCAAAATAAATAAGTGGATTATTTGAAAGAGTGTGTTAATATGGTCATAAATAAATATAGCTATACTAAATAATTGTTGAATATACTTCAAATTAAATAGAAGCTTTTATACTTCTAACGACAAAACTTGTGCATACCTCTCGGCATACTTACTTTAAGTTAGATTATAAGAAAACAAACAATTTTTAGAGAAACTTGCAATGTGAAAATATTTAATACTCCCATGACATGTGCTTTATTAAAATTTTTAAAGTTATAATGATTTTTTGATGTAGATCAAATTCAGTCGAAGCTTTTTAACTATTTGTATTGACAAAACTTTATGTAGGTACACTTTAAGCTGGATAAGAAAAACTACCACATTTTTAAATACCATATTATACAGTCTTTTAAATAATCCAAAATACTTATTTATTTTGGTCAAAATAAATTTTTCTAACCTTAAAATTACAAAATTAGATGATATTTTTGTTATAATATATTAACCTACCTTTAATACAGATATTTGGACCAAATGCACAAAGATATTACTTATTTGGGTCCATACACTTTAGAATTTTATTAAATGCAGTATTTATATTCTTAAATTCTTAAACCATCCCTTGTTATTCTAATGTTATAAAGATTTATACATTTTTAACGCCTAAACATAATATTATTTCTTTCGTTGACTATACTTTGACAGATACATAACCTGAAAAGCCTTAAATGCCAAATTTTCACTTTGAGGTGTGGAGCATAGTACATTATTAATAAACAGCCATCCACCACAAATTAGACTTCATTAGATCAATAAAACACTTTTCGTTTTTTGTGCAAGGTGCATTTATTGCCGTAATCGTCGTAAACGCTCATCATTGCCGCAATAAATACCGGGTTTGATCACACAATAAATAATAATTACATATTGTTCATTCGGAACCATTTGTCACGACTTAATAGATACAGAAAAAACAATCACGTTCCTTTAGGTAATTGGACTTGGTGCTTCGTCTTCATCGTTTTTCCTTATTTGACGTACGACAAACGAAATATTCCTCATTTGTTTTCCGGATAACAATCGAATGTCGTCGACGGCGCATAGCCGTCTTGATGTATCATTGTGAGAAACGTTTTGTTGTCTCTTGTCGTCCGTATGTTTTTTTTTAAGATTTTACAGTTAAAGTTTGAAATTAATCGAGATGTAATAGGGTTATCATCAATCAAGGTCACCACAAGAATTTTTGATATGGCAACTGCGCATATATATAATTTATACAGTTCTGCTGAAGACCTTAATTAAATTGACAGTAGTCACCTATATTTAACTACTTTTTTATATGATTTTACCAAAGCCAAATTAATTGCATTTTTTAACTACGAAGATTTGAAATGAACAATTTAAAAAATGATATTCATTTTTGCAATTTTTCAACATTGTAGTAAATGGATATCAAGAAAAAACCAATTTAAGGAGACAACAAGCTGTCTGAGTGGCAGTCTATCTTGCAAATAATTTGAGGCTTTCAGACTAAAACCATTTTAGTTTGTGTCATGAAAAATTGCGTCCCTAAGCTTTTAAATAATTCACTTCTGAACTTATTTAACTTTAAGTTGCATTTTTATGCACTGACAAATAGACATTTAGAAAGTTTTATACCTTTTTTAATAATTTTTCCTTTATTCGATTTTACAATTCATTTTTGGACTTTGCCACTGTAAAAAACCATAGAATGGTTTTTGGAATTAAAAATTTGTCCTACCATTTTCTACATTTATTTTACTGTGCTATTTTTTTTTGATTTTCAACCACTTTGCGGATTTGTACTACCATTCTTAAACTTATCCCACTTGACAGTAAATAAATTATTTTTTGTTTTGTTGTAGGTTGTACCAAATATGGTGGGCAATAAAACTTAATTAAGTAATTTTATTACGGAAATGATAAACTCTAATTGAAGTACGATTTAAATAAATTAAAGAAGAGGATGATTTCTCTTTTCTCATCATCAAAAAGCGGCGATATTATTAAGCCGAAAAATTGGCACAAGCGTAACATAAATTATCTTTCGTCCATTTATTAATTTATCGTCTTATTAAAATCTGGGAGGGCCCTGGCTGTTAAGCACAAAAAATCGTTCTGTCAGAGTCAATTATACCACTATACCAGTTTGCAACGCAACGTGGGCATAAACTTTAATAACAATTTTTTTTATCCTAAAAATTTTCTAAATGGATTCACCCTTAATGTACCTACGTAATTTTATCAGAGATGGGTGAATATATTGAGATGTTGGTCTAGAATGGTGTTTTTGGGAAGCCACCAGGTCTAGTAATAACATAAAAAAGTGGTTCTGCACTAATGCAAGAATTTTAAGAAATCATACATTTTGAATATTAGAGCTTCACGGAGGTTAGGATTTCGTATGTTTTTTTAAACATCCCTTTGTATATTTGAAATAAGTTATTGTATCTTTTGACACCTTAATTGTACATACATAAAATATTTATAAAAAAAATCTACTTACTGAGATATTGCACTTCACGGTGGATAGGTTTTTAAATAGCAAATTAATGAACTTAAACTTTTGAATTATAAAACAGCAACACTTTCATCTGCATATAAATTCTAACTGACCTATAATGTCGTAAACAAAGGTTTTTGCTTATTTAAAATGGTTAAAGCGCCATCCGTTGCATAAAATTTAAAGCAAAAACAGATTTACGGAGGATAGAATCAATTTTTGTAACACCTACATAAATGGTTATAAATTTTAATTTTTGATATTTTATATTTGATTCGATTGCTTTTAATGTGTTTAATTTACTTATTGAACTGATATTTTTAGTATGCTTTTACTACCTTTGATATTTGAAAACATATAGGTTAACCTAAAAAGAGTAACACGGAGGATATGTTTTAGACTTTTAAAACATTGTAAAAAATAATTAATTTCGGTTAAAAATGTGGAACCTGAGCTGTAATATCTACTTAATTATGAAAGATCAAAACACAACAAAAGTGTGGGATTCACCGAAATATATACACTATATAGGTGGTATAGATGCATATCGTTTTATAGTGTGGTAACTACTTAAAAGCAGGAAGTTCTTAAAAATGTATATTCAGATGATTTATGATCGAGTCGAGCGCGACACATTTAAATCGACTCCATGTTATTTATATACTGTAGATCTCGAGAGGATTTACTTGCCGAGCAAATCCGCATAAAAGGGTCATAAGAACCGCTCGAGATTTTTTATTGGGCAAAGCCCACTTTAAGTGGCTTGAAATTAGTCAAACAAGCCATGAAAATTTTTTTTTATATGAATATTTCGGCTATCCGGCACTGATGGGCCCAAAAGACCTGTTTGTGGAGAACATACTATAGTATATAAAAGGCCAGTTCCAAATAGTTAAAATACACACAAACTGCTGTTAATTCGTGTGAACATTGCGGCTAAACTCATACTACTGTAACGGACAGTTTAATCAACGAATAGACCGCATTTTAAAAGCACAACAAGAAAGAAACCCCAGTGTAGTTAAACAAAACGAAAGGAGATTCAACAACAATTCATTATCAAGTGGTTTATGATTGCAACAAAACAAACGAAACGATTTTGTACCTGTAGTAACGCAGTGACAACAAATTGATCACATTTAAAGATTTTTTTATGTGATATTAGTTCTCTGCTGGAACCAAATGAACGCTGGCTGGGATTCTAATCGAAAAGTTAATAGGAGTAGGTTGAGTTTTTATTTACCAGTCGGTCATACGTTGAAATGTACGGGGTGAACCATGTAAGATCACCAGACTCACCAGAGCACACAAATCAGATCAGTCAACAAGGTCTAAAATTGCTCCTCACTAGATAGTGAACGCTTCTAGCTAACTATAGTTACGTAGATGTATGTATATGCATCGAACAAGTATTGTACAAAATGGATAGGTAGATAGACAGATGGATTTAGCAATTGGCAATGGATTTATGTCGGAGCCATTATGCGCTATCTATTGGGACAAACGAAACAGTATATCTGCAATCGACGTCTGAGAGTCTTGTCTCTTCACCTACACACGTTTGTGCGCTTTGCATCTGATATTTTATTTATGCTCGGTAGTGTCTAGAGGCCTTTATGTTTCGTAAAACACGGGTTTTCAGTTTGGACGTTAGGAAATGTTGGAAAAGTTCTAGATTGTAGTAGACACAGTTTTAGAAAGATTGGTCTGTCTTATAACTAATTATCAATCTGTCATTTTCGTTTAGAAGATTAGTCCAATCTTATAAGCTTAACGGTCTTAAATTGTTTTTTTCAGATTTATCAGATTGCTTACATCATAATAAAGGCTGCCAACTCGCCAAGACCTGGCTTGTGGATGTTGGAGAAATCCCTGGATGGGATCTACTTCGAACCGTGGCAATACTACGCTAGAAACGATAAGGAGTGTCTGGAAAGGTTTGGGATAGCTGCCACGAAAGGAAAACCCCATTTTTTTACAGACAGCGAGGTTATTTGTACCTCTTTCTATTCAAGACTAACACCAACCGAGAATGGGGAGGTAAGTGTATATTTTAGTTACATTTTTATGGTAAAATCTTCGAATGCGTATGTAGGTATTACTTTTTCGTTCGTGAATAGGGCACTGGATATCTTCGATTTCGGACTTCCTTGGTTTTGGAGCCATTTCTTCATCTCCATGACTTTTCTTGAGGGTCCTTGTACCACACCTTAAAATGCTTCTTGAAGAATTTAAACCTGGATGTAGATAAAAGTTCGTACCTTTAACCGTTCCTTTTGGAGTGTTCATGATCCAGCCTTTGACACCTAACGTCTGCGCGTGTTTTTGCGTGAATTTCCTAAAGAAAACGCCCTGAACTTTCCCATACACTTCAAAGTCCACCGTTACTTTCTTTAAAGCACCTTCCATTTCCATCTTATCTACGATACGAAGTATTATTCACAGAACATATTATTTCTGAAGTTTTGTTATGACATGTGCACTTTTTTATGCCAATACCACCCGGTATTATCAACGGTTACTACGATACTTGATAATCAATATTTAAACCTGTTATCTCGATAAATCTTAATTTTGAAACGATTTAAATTCGTTCCGTGCATTTAAGAGTTCAGAGAAATTCGCCAAAATGATACATCGATAAATCACACAAGCAAAATCAATTACGTTATAATCAAATCATCAACGTTGCTTTCTTCTCGGTGATTGATACACCGAAAGTCTCGCGAAACCGACTCAAATTGTTTTTGTATATGGATGATTCCATATATCGTACCAACCCAAAGCTGTGTTATTTTTTTCTTGAAGAATTTTAATAAGTATTTCGTTATTATACTATATTTGATTGAAAATAAAGAAATTGGTTTACTTTACATGAAAAAGAACGAATTTGTAACGCGCAAAATAACAATTGCTTGAATCTCGAAATTGGTCGAGGAAAGTCGGGTACCCGGTTTTAATTCTCGACTTTGCGTCGTCTTCAAAGCCGCAGGAGCGATTATTTATTTTTTACAGTTTATTTGATCACTGCCGCAGATCAATCATCATAATTCAAAAGGGAAGTTTGCGATGTACGTAACGTCTGTATTCGTGAAAGATTGATCGTTCAAGCTGGGTTTGAACCGTTTAAATACATTTTAAAGAAGATGAAAGTGGGGAATTAGGAGAAATACCGCAATTTTTTTTGTATACAGGGTGATGTATCTGGGCTTGTTTGTCCATTCTTATCGGTCTAGTTTTTACGATTTTCTTTTGAATAATTTGAAAAAAAAAGCAAATGTTTTGACAGTTTTTCTACATTGTACTTTAATTTCTGAAATAATTTTTTTTTTATTTTCGATTATTAATGGTATTTTTTTTTTAATTTTTATAAATCTCTTAAAAAATTTGTAATTTTTTTCTAAATATTTTGCAATTTTTATGCTGTTTTTAGAATTTAAAGTCTAAATACGAAATATAAAATTAAAATTTATTTATTTTCGATTATTTATGGTTTTTTTTAATTTTATAAATCTCTTAATAAATTTGTACTTTTTTTTAAATATTTTGCAATTTTTGTGCTGTTCTTAGAATTTAGAATTTTGTCGTTATAATATACAGAGTGTCTAGATTTTTTTATTTTTTTCAATTTTATAATTTTGTAAAGGAAAAATCATTGACAGAATAAATTGAAGTCTAAATACAAAATATAAAATTAAAATTTACTTATTTTCGATTATTTATGATATTTTTTTAAATTTTTATAAATCTGTCAACAAATTTGTAATTTTTTTCTAAATATTTTGCAATTGTTGTGCTGTTCTTAGAATTTAGAATTTGGTCATTATAATATACAGAGTGTCTCAAATTCTTTATTTTTTTGAATTTTATAATTTTGTATTAAAAAAATCATTGACAGATTAAATTGAAAATTATTTATTTTCGATTATTTATGGTATTTTTTTTAATTTTATTAATCTCTTAACAAATTTGTAATTTTTTTCTAAATATTTTGCAATTTTTGTGCTGTCCGTCGTTATAATATACAGAGTGTCTTGATTTCTTTATTTTTTTCAATTTTATAATTTTGTTTAAAAAAAAACATTGTCAGAATAAATTGAAGTCTAAATATGAAATATAAAATTTTATTTATATTTTTTTTATTAAAATTAAATGTTTATAAATACATTTGTTAAATTACTATTTTTATGATTATAATATACAGTGTGTCTCGTAATAGAAGAGGTTTTTATTATAAGCCTTTTTAATTTAAATTCTTTCTTTAATTTTCTTTTTAATTAAGTTTTAAAAGCTCATAACAAAGAATTATTTTTTTAAAACAACTTTTTTAAAATGGCAACCATGTCAACCCAGCCGCCTTATTGAAATGGTTTCATAACCACCATTATTATATCTTATTTGTACTTTCTTTGTTTAGTATACCTATATATATAGTATCATTTTAAAAACATTTATTAATAAATGATCTGATTCAATCGACCAGATAAGAAAGTCTATTAATAAAGGCATTCATTAATTTCGAGCGACGTGAAAAAACGAACTGTATTAATTGGAAACCGACTTATATGAGATAATCAATTACAGTCCACAGCCATAAATGTATACTGCTGTCCTGATAAAAAAAAATGATATCGTATGTACGGTAACGATTTTTTAGATTCACACATCCTTGATACATGGACGTCCAGGGGCTAATGAATCTAGTCCAGAACTCCAGGAGTTCACTAAAGCTAGATATGTGAGGATAAGGCTTATGGGTTTGAGGGGTACCTTGGAGCCCATACCCAGGTGGTTTATGCAGGATATTTGGAGGGACAAACGGCTGTATTACTCCATCAGGGATATCAGTATAGGAGGGCAATGCGTATGCAATGGACATGCTGAAAACTGTAGGCACAACGTGGCATCAGGGGTAAGCAATGTTTCCTTATTTATTATCTTTAAATTATTCAAAGAATCATTAAATTTAATGAATCCCACAATATCATACATTGTTGTGTTTTATTTGCTGAAAATAATAAACTTGATGGCAAAGAACCAACCGAAGAATTAAAATTTTAATTGAAATAGGCGTTCCTATCATAATAATAGTTATTTATTGCTATATTACTTTTATGTTTTATACTGAATCAAAAAACTAAGGAAAAGTGCTTTTGTCCATCACATAAATAATACTGTGAAAACATAAAATTTTACTGTGACACAAAAACATTTTACTGTGACAATTTTTTTACTGTTACACGAAACATTTTACTGTGACAATTTTTAGGAGATCATTTTTTAATATTGTACATTTGTTTTTATTTTAAAACCGTTTTTTACTGTTTTTTGTACTTTTCATCAGGTAACTAATACCCTGACAACAAAAAATTTTACTGTGACAATTTTTAAGATATTTTTTTACCATTGGACATTTGTAGTAGTGCTCTTGTCCATCAGGTAAATAATATTGTGACAACATAACATTTTACTGTGACACAACACATTTTACTGTGACAATTTTTTACTGTGACACAACACATTTTACTGTGACAATTTTTTACAGTTACAAAAAAAATTTAATTGAAATAGGCGTTCCTAATAATGGTAATAGTTATTTCTATATTAATTTGGTGTTTTACACAGACATAATCGATCTATAATATTAATTTTACTATTGTACGCATAAAAGCTTGAAATCTCAAATTAAAATTCATGACTTCAGAAATTATTATTATTATTATCCACATCAAGTTTTAGTTGGCATAGCAAATCGCTTTATAATTCACTGCTAGTGCACTAACTAGTTTTTAATAATAGGCAAAATTGTTTATTAATGTCAGTAAACAAGTTGACGTAGAAGACGCTAAGCCTCAAACGTATTAACTTCACCATGTACGGCCAAAGTAATTTCTTTATTTCCATACGTCTTAAGGCATAAGCTGCATAAATTAATAGTCGTATGGTCAGTGGCTTTTTAGGCGTTATTAATTAGCGATGGTGGACTTTTTTGTCTTCGTTAATAGCTCGTCAAGAATTTAATGTAAAAAATTTTTGGGTTGCTCCGACCGCAAAAAAGTTTTACTTCAACAATAAAATAAAAAATATACAGAGCATTGAACAGTTTACCCCCCACGTGCAGTGTAAAGAGTCTAAGATTTCAATCGCATTTAACTCGGTGAGCACAAGTGCTAAACATTGGCATGCAGTCATGTTCGACTCATAAAATTATCGCTTACTATTTACATTTTACACGTATGTATAGAAACGGACTGAAATGCAATCTTCACTGTTTAAAACACATTATAATTATTATTATTATTAGCAAAATGAAGATTATGTTTTTAAATGCTTTATATATGAATGTATGGTTTTTAATTTTTTACTGTTATAAGAAACATTTTACTGTGACAATTTTTACTACTGGACATTTGTTTTTATTTTAAAAAAGTTTTTTTTTACTTTTTTGATGTTTTCTACTTTTAGTTTCTTCCTTTCATTTTTTATATGTTGCATTATGGTATAGGTACATATTTATGTACTTAGATATTGAAGTAGATGTAGATAAATACGGTTTTTGGTGCGGTGGAAAATTGATTTTGTCCATCAGGGAAATAATACCGTGACAACACAATATTTTACTGTGACACAAAACATTTTACTGTGACACAAACATTTTACTGTGACAAAGTTTTTTTTTACTGTAATTTTTTACTGTGACACAACACATTTTACTGTGACAAATATTTACAAAAACATTTTAATTGAAGTATCCGACCGAGTCAGTACATAAATGAAAATGAAAAATATTGTTGACAAACAAAACAATAAAATGGCAAAAATCTTATAATTGACTTATTTATACAAAAGTTGGAAAACTTCAAAGTTCGATTTGGGTAAACAAAAAAGTATTTTCTCCGTAATCTCGTAAAAGATCCGTCCTGCAACACGATCCCACAGCAGGATAAAAGGTTTATAACTGCATTACAATATAATGCCTTGTTGAAAAGCATGTCTCCGAAGATAGTTTAGTTTTGTAAGTCTTTTTAAAAGGATTTCTATACAGAGAACTAGGTCAAATCTGATAAAATCCTACTTGTGCTCTATGCACAAAGTGCATGCACCAATAAAATGTTAAATCCTTCTTTTTTAAATTAAAATAACAAAAAATCCTGCTGTGTTATAGATAGTGAGTGGCAGGACAAAATCCTGCAGCATTTTTAGCGAAACTGCAACAACAATTTTGCAAAACAAACAACATCGTTTTATCTATCTAAATTAAATAAATTATTCCTGCTATAATATAGCAGCGGGATCCCAGCAGGCCGCAGACGCACCATATAAAGACAAGTCGCTGTCGCGCCGTTGTGCAGAGGCGGACATCATGCAACGTCGCACACAAATAAACTTCGAGTTTATTAAATTCGTAAAGTTGTAATTTAATTTTGCCATTATTATTTCGCAAAATATTATTAATATAATAATTGTTTGTTTGCGGTGCGTGCAATTTTTAATTGGTTAATTAAGTTTTGCAGTGTTGTCAAGTGTAATAATAAACTCAAAAAACACTGTACGTTCCACCACTGTTTGTTATCTGTGGTTTTCTTGGAAGTATCTGCAGTAGCGAAAGAAGAAGAAAGGCAACGGATTGACAAAACCGCGATACCACTGAATACAGTTGCAGTAGTTGCCAATCTGTATTTGGTATTATTCGATGTTTATCGTGTGGGAATCCTATCAATCGAAAGGTTACTGCCTCTACATTGTCTCCTGTTCTTACCATCTTACAAGCTATAGCTTTATTCTGCTAAAATGCTACTTTTTTTTAAACTAACAACTTTAAAAAACAACCATTTTGTGAAAAACTATTTAGAATGCCAACTTTAAAAATCATACTTTTTTCCAAAAAATATTTAGAATGACAACTTTAAAAATAACACTTTTTGTCAAAAACTTATTAGAATGCCAACTTTAAAAATCATTCTTTTTGTCAAATACTGTTTAGAGTGATAACTGTGAAAATCATACTTTTTGTAGACAATGACAAGTATGAAAAACAAATTTTTGTTAAAAAGTATTTAGAATGCCAACTTTAAAAAACAAACTTTTTGTCAACAACTATTTAGAATTCCAACTTTAAAAATCATACTTTTTTCCAAAAAATATTTAGAATGACAACTTAAAAAAAAACACTTTTTGTCAAAAACTTATTAGAATGCCAACTTTAAAAATCATACTTTTTGTCAAATACTGCTTAGAGTGATAACTGTGAAAATCATACTTTTTGTGAAAAACTATTTAGAATGCCAACTTTAAAAATCATACTTTTTGTGAAAAACTATTTAGAATGCCAACTTTAAAAACATACTTTTTGCCAAAAAATATTTAGAATGACAACTTTAAAAATAACACTTTTTGTCAAAAATTTATTAGAATGCCAACTTTAAAAATCATACTTTTTGTGAAAAACTATTTAAAATGCCAACTATAAAAAACAAATTTTTGTTAAAAAGTATTTAAAATGCCAAATTTAAAAAACATACTTTTTTATTAAAAACTATTTGGAATGACAACTTAAAAATAATACTTTTTGTAAAAAACTATTTAGAATGCCAACTATAAAAAACAAATTTTTCTTAAAAAGTATAGAGAATGCCAACTTTAAAAAACAAACTTTTTGTCAAAAACTATTTAGAATGCCAACTTTAAAAATCATACTTTTTGTCAAAAACTGTTTGGAATGCCAACTTTAAAAAACATGTTGTTTATCAAATACTGTTTAGAGTGATAACTGTGAAAATCATACTTTTTGTAAAAAAGTATGTAGAATGCCAACTTTAAAAAACATTTCTTTTAAACAATGTGATATTCACAGTACTTATCATTGTTAGTGGCAAAAACAAAAGTGTGGGCTATCCATTAAGCATTTTGTCGGGGCCATGGGGGGCCCCCGGTTCCATCACGAAGGCTCCATTATCCGTATGCAGATTATCTTTAGCGCTTTGCCTCTTGCTTTGCTCTGCGACGAGCAAATATGCAAATGGCTCCGAATTGCCTGTTCCGTCTCTATTGCAATGCTGTGCAGTCCGTGCTGCTGATATTCGCGCTTAATAATGGATTCTGCACTTTTTTCTCCGTTCCGTGGAAAGTTTTTATCATTAGGTTGATGATTATTTAGGAGTTTATCATTTGTCATTTTTTTAATACATCTCAGTTTTTTTTAAATTTTTAACTACTTTTGAAAAAAATAATTTTATCAAAATATTCAATTAATTATTTTAATGTTAGAATGTTAAAATCATATTTTAAAATGGTTAAATTCAACGAAGAATATTAAAAAACTTTGTCCAAACTTTAAAAAACAAACTTGTTTCAAAAACTATTTAGAATGCCAACTTTAAAAAACATAATTTTTGTCAAAAACTATTTAGAATACCAACTTTAAAAAACAAACATTTTGTGAAAAATTGTTTAGAATGCCAACTTTAATAAACATACATACATATTTTTTTGAGAAAAACTGTGTAGAATGCCAACCATAAAAATCATTTTTTTTGTTAAAAGGTATTTAGAATGCCAACTTTAAAAAACAAACATTTTGTGAAAAACTATTTAGAATGCAAACTTTAAAAATCATACTTTTTGTGAAAAACTATAAAAACAAATTTTTGTTAAAAAGTATTTAAAATGCCAACTTTAAAAACATACATTTGTCAAAAACTATTTAGAATGCCAAATTTAAAAAACATAATTTTTTTAAATTGTTTAGAATGCCAACACATAATTTTTATCAAAAACTCGCCAACTTTAAAATATAAATTTTTGTTAAAAAGTATTTAGAATGTCAACTTTAAAAAACATACATTTTGTCAAAAACTGTTTAGAATGCTAATTTTAAAATACTTTTTTATTAAAAACTATTTGGAATGACAACTTTAAAATAATACTTTTTCTTAAAAAGTATTTAGAATGCCAACTATAAAAAACAAATTTTTCTTAAAAAGTATTTAGAATGCCAACTTTAAAAAACAATCATTTTGTGAAAAACTATTTAGAATACTTTTATGAAAAACTATTTAGAATGCCAACTTTAAAAAACATACTTTTTGCCAAAAAATATTGCCAACCTTAAAAATTACACTTTTTCTCACAAACTTTTTAGAATGCCAACTTACAAAAAAATATTTTTGTCAAAAATCATTTAGAATGCCAACTTTAAAAAACAAACTTTTTGTCAAAAACTATTTAGAATGCCAACTTTAAAAATCATACTTTTTGTCAAAAACTGTTTGAAATGCCAACTTTAAAAAAATGCTTTTTATCAAATACTGTTTAGAGTGAACTGTGAAAATCATACTTTTTGTCAAAAACTGTTTAGAATGCTAATTTTAAAAAACATTATTTTTATTAAAAACTATTTAGAATGCCAACTTTATTAAACATACATTTTACCAAAAAATATTTAGAATGCCAACTTTTAAAATTACACTTTTTCTTAAAAACTTTTTAGAATGCCAACTTACAAAAAAATATTTTTGTAAAAAACTATTTAGAATGTTAACTTAAAAAACATACTTTTTGTCAAAAACTATTTAGAATGCCAACTTTAAATAAAATAATTTTTTCCATGAACTATTTAAAATGACAACTTTTAAAAAAACATAATTTTTGTCAAAAACTAAATAAATATTTAGAATGTCATCTTTATAAAAAACATAATTTTTGTCAAAAAATATTTAGAATGCCAACTTTAAAAATTCTTAAAAACTTTTTAGAATGCCAAGTTACAAAAAAATATTTTTGTAAAAAACTATTTAGAATGTTAACTTTAAAAAACATACTTTTGGTCAAAAACTATTTAGAATGCCAACTTTAAATAAAATATTTTTTTCCATGAACTATTTAAAATGCCAACTTAAAAAAAACTAATTTTTGTCAAAAAATATTTAGAATGCCATCTTTATAAAAAACATAATTTTTGTCAAAAACTATTTAGAATGCCAACTTTAAAAAACATACTTTATGCCAAAAAGTATTTAGAATGCCAACTTTAAAAATTACACTTTTTCTTAAAAACTTTTTAGAATGCTAACTTACAAAAAAATATTTTTGTAAAAAACTATTTAGAATGCCAACTTTAAAAAACATAGTTTTTGTCAAAAACTATTTAGAATGCCAACTTTAAATAAAATAATTTTTTCCATGAACTATTTAAAATGCCAACTTAAAAAAAACATAATTTTTGTCAAAAACTATTTAGAATGCCATCTTTATAAAAAACATAATTTTTGTCAAAAACTATTTAGAATGCCAACTGTACGAGTTCTGCATGTTGATTAATGCAAACAACAATGTTTAAACAAGTATTCAAATTTTTCTATAAACCTTTTATTTCTCACCACTTAAATTAGAATGCCAACTTTAAAAAACATACTTTTTTTTAATGTATAGAATGCCAACTTAAAAAAAACATATTTTTTGTGAAAAACTATTTAGAATGCCAACTTTAAAAACTTATTTATTGTCAAAGACTATTTAGAATGCCAACTTTAAAAACACACTTTTTATCAAAAACTATTTTCCCTGAAATCAGCACCCCGAATGCGAATGCAGCCACCACACGTGCGGGCCCAACTGCGACCGGTGCTGCCCTCTGTACAATCAACGTCAATGGGCCCCCGGCACGTCCAGGGACGGGCACCGGTGCCTGCCCTGCAACTGCCATGGGCACTCCGCGAGCTGCCACTACGACCAGGACGTCGACAGGGCCGGACTCAGCCTCGACGTACACGGGAACTACCAGGGCGGGGGCGTATGCGACAACTGCACCGTAAGTAATATTTTTTTATTTAACGATGCTGACGAAGAATCACAATTGACTTCTTTATGCTTAGTAAATGCAATGATAATTTGTTTTTCGTGAAACAGGTAGATATGGCGCTATTGCGCCTAATTAAACACCTTTCTGGGGGGATTTCGGGATTCTGACAGGTGGTTTTCTCGGAAGTCGCTCTTAGTCAGGTATCTTAGCACCTTTTGATAACTTGTGCACAGTGATAAGGTTTATAGCTGTAGTTGGGTTACATTATTAGTCTTATCTGTTGAGGTGGCAAATGTGAAAGTGTTTTTTTCTGTTTTACAATGTGCGAAGGCAAGACGGTGCTAGGCATACTGTATGTTTTGTTTGTGAGTGCCTTTATTTCCGTAAACCATAAAATTATCAACAGATAAATAAGTAATGTATAACTAGATAAAAAACCTACACTGTTTTTTGAGTTTTACGAATTTATTTTACTTTAATTTAATTTGACAATTGTTTCTCTAATGAAGTAGCTTCTTCAGAAATTAAATTTAAAAAAATTAGTGAAACTCATTTACATTGATTGGTATTTTTATAGTTATGCATTTTATATAAGTTTTCCTTGTTATTTTCTATCATTTATTTTTGTTGCTCCAAGCAATCCCTTTTTCTATATAATCTTATCTAAGATTGTGATTTTTTTTTCATTTTTAATTCAATATGTTACCTATATTATTTATTACCTTTAGGCATTTTTTTTTACTTTTTTAATAGATTTTTTGTATTTTTGGTTTCCTTTCTTTTGTTTTTTTATATTTTGCATTTTGATATACATACTTCCAAGTACCTGGTAAATAATACTGTGACATTTTTTTACTGTTACACAAAACATTTTACTGGATATCATTTTTTTATCATTTAAACCGTTTGTTAACTTTTTTATGCTTTTTTTCGTAGTTAAATAATACTGTGGCAACATACCATTTTGTTGTGACACAAAAACATTTTACTATGACAATTTATACTCTTACACAAAACATCTTACTGTGACAATTTTCAGGATATCATTTTTTACTATTGGACATTTGTTTTTATTTTAAAACCGTTTTTTACTTTTTTGATGTTTTTGTATTTTTAGTTTCTTTTCTTTAATTTTTTATATTTTTCAACATGATAGGTACATACTCTTGTACTTAGATATTGAAGTAGATTTAGACAAATACGGTTTTTGGTGGGGTGGAAAAGTGCTATAGGTAAATAATACTGTTGCAACACATTTTATTGTGACACAAAAACATTTTACTGTGACTATTTTTTTTTACTGTTACACAAAACATTTTACTGTGACAATTTTTAGGATATTATTTTTATCATTGGACATTTGTTTTTTAAACCGTTTTTTTTTTACTTTTTTATGTTTTTTTGTACTTAATATTAAAGTAGACAAATACGGTTTTGATGGGGTGGAAAAGTGCTCTTGTCCATCAGGTAAAAAATACTGTGACAACATACTATTTTACTGTGACAACATACCATTTTACTGTGACAAAAACATTTTACTGTGACTTTTTACTGTGACACTTGTTTTTTTACTGTGACACAAAATTTTAAATTTGACTGGAATTTAAAATTCGTTGCAGAGTTTCACATCAGGTCTGAACTGCGAGCAATGCGTGGACGGTTACTACCGTCCTGCGGGCGTCCTGCCCGACGCGGAATCGCCCTGCGTGAGATGCGACTGCGATCCCACAGGATCCACAGGTTCGTGCGCGCAGCAGGGCGACGCAGCAGGAGCGTGCGACTGCAAAATCGGCTACGCAGGCGAAAAGTGCGATAGGTGCGACGCGGGGTACAGAGGGTACCCGAACTGCGAGTTGTGCCCGTGCGATCCCAAGGGGGTTTGGGAGATGGGAGATTGCGAGGGGGAGTGCGTTTGCAAGGCGAACGTGGAAGGAAAGTACTGCGACCGATGCAAATCGGGATTCTTCGCTCTCGACGAGTTCAACGAAGCCGGCTGCTCGAACTGCTTCTGTTCCGGCGTCACGACGCTCTGCGAGTCCGCCATAATAACATCGAAACAGGTACGTATCGACACCGCACCTCTATTTCCCCCTAGGCATTTATTTTGCCGAACACAACCGCTCTTATTTATTATTCCGCTTACGCTCGCGTAAGCAAATAAACAGGTGAGACGTTTGCACGGCTGCAGCTTCGTTCGCAGCTGTTTCGAGTCGTTAGCAGCGGAAAAATAGCGACTCTGCTAATAAACAATTCAGGCGCCAAGTGCTTAAGTTAAACTAAACTTTATTAAAGCAACAGTTTCATAATAATTATTATGTTGTAAACTTTCGTTTAATTTATTTTTTACCAGAAGCAAAAACATATCAACAATTTTAGGTGCAAGTTTTGAAGGAATGGTTCATTACTGACTTAAGAGCAACCGAGTTTATAAAACCGGTTTACAGCGAAGAAAGAGTTTTTTCTGTGGGAAATTATGAATTGCCCGGTATTGAATCTTTGTATTGGCTTGCCCCCAAGGATTATTTGGGAAATGTACTGGAGGCCTATAATGGACATCTAAGGTATGTCAAACAATTCAGTGGACTAGTTAACATTTTTATGTATTTTTTTAGGTTTAAAGTACAATGGGTGGTAATGAGAGGTGACACAAGTGGCGAAGCCACATTCGGCCCAAACGTAATTTTAGTGGGCGAAAATGGGCTTCAAATAGCCTTCGGTGACGACATATACCACACTAGTTCCATGTCGTTCGACATAAAACTAAACGAAATCGGTTGGTACCACTTGCCAGCAAACCTAATGGACATAACAATAAGGTAAAAACAGTCCCAGAGTTTTTTACAGGTTTATTTAACATTTTTGGTGTTTTAGGATGAAACCAAACGTATATAAAGGAGCTTCAGTGACAAGAAACGAATTTTTATCGGTTTTAATGAACGTCAAAAGGGTTTTACTTCGAAGTTCATTCCATACAGATCAAATAGAAGCATTATTAGAGGAAGCAATTTTGGATATTGGAGTAGATGTAGACAAATACGGTTTCGGAGGCGTGGAAAAGTGCTCTTGTCCATCAGGTAAATATTGCTGTGACACAAAATATTTTGCTGTGACACAAAATACTTTACTGTGACACAAAATACTTTACTGTGACACAAAATTTTTTGCTGTGACACAAAATGTAATACTGTGACAAAAACTTTTGCTGTGACGATTTTTAGGATATTCCGGCCTCTCGTGCGAGAAATGCTCGTTCGGCTACGTGCGAATTTTCGCGAACGACAGCGGCGTGGAGCAGGGTTTTTGCGGCAAGTGCGACTGCAACGGGCACTCGGAGACTTGCGACGCCGGCACCGGCGAGTGTTTCTGCCGTCACAACACGATCGGGGAGAAATGCGAGCGGTGCGCCGCCGGTTTTTACGGGAATCCCCTGCACGGTACCAAGGACAGCTGCAAAAGGTGAGTTTAAAAATAATGCTTTTGGTGTTTTGTTTATTTTCATCTTTCAGGTGTGCTTGTCCTTTGGAGAACGAGGAAAACAATTTTTCCCCCAGCTGTCAGCTGGATTATTTGGACGAAAAAGAGAGCTACGTTTGCACTCAGTGCCCGAAAGGATATACAGGAGATCACTGTGAAATGTACGTTAAAATATTATTTTGTTTTCTTAAATATAATACAATTTTTTTATAGATGCGACGATGGTTATTTCGGCAACCCCCTGGAAAAAGGCAACAAGTGTCAGCTCTGCGATTGCAATGGAGGACCATGCGACAGATCCACAGGACAATGTTTGAACTGCAAAGGAAACACCGAAGGTATTTTTTCTTTCATTAAATTGAAATGAATATTATCAATTTTTTTTAAGGCTGGAAATGTGAAAAATGCAAACCCGATCACTATGGGGACCCTAAAAACCTAACCTGCAAAGCCTGCGAGTGCGATCCAATAGGTTCAAAGTTCAAACAGTGTGACAATGTGACAGGACAGTGCCAGTGCAAGGAAAAATTCATGGGGAGAACTTGTGATAAATGCGAGGTAAATATTCAATGTCAATTATTAAAATATAATTTAGTGTCACAGTAAAATGTTGTTTTTTTGTCACAGCATTATTAATTAATTAAAAATACTGTGACACAAAAACAATATTTAACTGTGACAGTTCATTATTTTTTTTAAATAAAATGATGCTGTGACAATTTAAGATGTTTAGAATTAAAAATGCTTATAAAAAATTCCTAAAAAATTTACTGGGTTTTAAAATAATACCGTCACACAAATACAACATTTTTACTGTTTCACTAAATTACACAATTTTTAGAACAGTTTTTAGAAAAAATAATATTTAATTAATAATATGTGACACTATTTAAGACGTTTAAGGCTTAAAATGCTTTAAGAAAGTTCCTAGAAAATTTTGGGGCTATTTACTGGGTTTTAAAATGATACCGTCAGACAAATACAACATTTTTACTGGGATCTTAAATTACACAATTTTGAAGACAGTTTTTAGAAAAAAATAATATTAATTAATTAATATACTCTAATTATTTATTATTTTATTATTATTTATTAATACTGTGACAAAAAAATATCATTTTATATTATATTTTTTCACAGTATTATAAATAAATAATGCTGTGTAAAAATAATAATAGGACACAAAAACAACATTTTACGGTGATACTTAATTATATTTTAAAAATAAAATTATGCTGCGGCAAAATTTAAAATGGTTAAGATTTAAAATGCTCTATAAAGGTTCCTAGAAAATTTTGGGTCAATTTAAGGCTGTTTTTTTAAAGACATTTTTAAACATTTTACTGTGACACTGAATGATATTTTACTGTGACGGAAAACACTGTGACTTTTTTTCAGATTGGTTACGGCAATGTTACCGGTCTCTGCGCTCCATGCCAGTGCAACCCGACGGGGTCAAAATCGGAAATATGCGACCCCCATACGGGAATTTGCGATTGTAGACCTGGAGTCGATGGTTTTCATTGCGATGCATGTCAAAACATGTACTACGGTTTTTCCAAAGACGGATGCACTGGTAAGTCACACCCTGTGTGTTATTATTATATTTTAGGACGATTTTTTAATAACACAGCATTGGCAACCCAGTATACTAAGCTGTATAATCGGTTGCCTAACTTAAGAACTTACTTAAGTAATATTACTCAGCGTCGGGCGCCACAAATAAAATAATTATTTAATCAGTGAATATTAAAATTTTGAAGTGTGTTTGCGTTGGATTAATTAGTAATTAAGATAAATAGCGCGAATAAAATCAGGTCAATTGAATAATAATTATTTTGACGTTTAAGTTTGCTGGTTTAACATTTATAATGTTTATTAATTGCCATAAACTTTAAGCTTCTTATGGCAGAGACTTATTACGAATTAAGAAATTTATTAATTGGAATTGGCGCCAATTAAAATAGATTTTTATAATTTTCAGTGATTTTTAGTATAAAGAATTTTATTGTAAAAATAAAATGGATAGTAAAATAAATGTTTTAGAAAGTTTTAAAACATTTCAAAGGAAGTTTTGGGTTTTCTATATATTTTTTATTGTGACACAAAATGTGACAAAAATAATACTGATTTAAATAAATATTGTGTCACTTAATGATATTTTTATTGAGAAATATAATACTGTGTTACTGTGACAGTAAATAATTTTGTGACAAAAATATTTATAAAATGAAAATTTTTGAGTTTAAAATTGCAAAACCACTTAAAAAAAAATCATATAGAATTATAAAAGAATCCAAATTCGTTGAAATATTAAACCATGTATAAAATATAAACATTTATTTATACATTATTAAAAACATACCTTTTTTGACTGTGACGTAAAATGATATGTTGACATCAATACTGTGACACAAAATGGTATTTTTACTGTGACAATAAAAAATATTTGGATCCAAAACAATGTTTTAAATGATATCGCATAAATATTTTAAAATTTTGTCACTAAATGGTATTTAACACTGTGACAAAAATATTTTAAAATGCATATTTTTCAGTTCAAAAATTCAAAACCATGTATAAAAATAAAAACCGTATAAAATAATGGAAGGCCAATTTTACTGTGACGCAAAACGATATTTTGTGACAAAAATGTTTTAAAAATGCAAATTTTAAGTTTTAAATGCAAAAGCACTTATAAAAATAAAAATCGTATAAAATACAAAATTCTCAAAACAGAATCTAAATTCTATAACTTCCAAGAGCTTCGTACTGTTACACAAAATTATATTTTTACTGTGACAATAAATATATGTGGATCCAAAACAAACTTTCCAATTTTTTAAAATTTTATCAATAATATATTGTGTCCCTTAATGATATTTTACTGTGACAAATATAATACTGTGTTACTGTGATTTTGTGACAAATATTTAAAAATACAATTTTTTAAATTTATATTTAAATAAATTTTATAGTTTTTAATATAAAGTTAAAAAAATGTAGTTAAAATAAAACTCGTAGTAAAACAAGGCTCATTTAGATAATCATTGAATGTATCTTAAGTAGAACGAAAAATGACATCGTAACAAAACTCGAACGGGCAATAAAACAAACAAAACAATCTATTCACGGTACGATTGTGTACGGAATTTCCACTTATAGTGTTTTTATTTATTTTTTTATTGTCCCGTAAAAGTTGTGTTATCAGAAACCGATCGTGTGTCTTTGCACCTATTGATTTCCCATTAAGTTTCGCCGATAAAACGGCCGCTCTCCCGTTCCATTAGGAAACAAATATTACTTTTGAATTCAGTTGTGCTGCACACTCCGCTAATTCAATGGGCAACGTGCTGTTACTTAGGGAGGCTCTATTATATTTACAAATTTGCATTTTTCAGAAAATAAATTTGCTCTCCACACGATATCTATGGATTAAATTGCGCTTTTCCCCACGACAGTCTTGTTTACACATACTTAAAATTATTACAATAACATCGTTATATATTCATTATTACTACACCAACACATTTTACTGTGACACAGCACAACATTTTCCTGTGAATTTTTTTGTATTGCTTTTGCAATAAATCATTTTACTGTGATCTAAATTATTTTGCGACATAAAAATTGTGACAATTATAATACTGTGTTACTGTGACACTAAATAATTTTGTGACAAACAATTTTTTTTTAAATAAAACTGTGACAATAAATAAAAACCGTATACAATTATAAAGGACTGTCTTACAATGTTACCTTTTAGATGGTAAATTATTCGAAGCAACTATTACCACTTTTACTGTGACAGTACAAAATTTTACTGTGACATTTTTTATTTGCTTTTGCAATACATCATTTTACTGTGATCTAAATTATTTTGTGACATAAAATTGTGACAATTATAATACTGTGTTACTGTGACACTAAATAATTTTGTGACAAACAATTTTTTTTTTAAATAAAACCGTATAGGTACAATTATAAAGGACTGTCTTACAATGTTACTTTTTAGATGGTAAATTAATCGAAGCAACTATTTCTATTACAACACCTACACATTTTACTGTGACAACAATACAAAATTTAACTGTGACATTTTTTTAATTGATTTTGCAATACATCATTTTACTGTGATCTAAATTATTTTGTGACATAAATACTGTGACAATTATAATACTGTGTTACTGTGACACTAAATAATTTTGTGACAAGCAAATTCTTGTACAAAAATAAATACCGTATACTATTATAAAGGAGTGTCTTACAATGTTACCTTTTAGAATGTAAATTAATCGAAGCAACTATTACTATTACTACACCCACACTTTTACTGTGACAACAATACAAAATTTTACTGTGACATTTTTTATTGGTTTTGCAATACATCATTTTACTGTGATCTAAATTACTTTTTGAGATAAATACTGTGTTACTGTGACACTAAATAATTTTGTGACAAACAAATTTTTGTACAAAAATAAAAACCGTATACAATAATAAAGGACTCTGTCTTACAATGTTACCTTTTAGATGGAAAATTAATCGAAGCAACAATATGCAAATTCTGCAAAGACAAATTGCTAATTAAATAGGAAGTAATAATTCTAAATCGTTCACCCACATTGTGGCTCGTTCAGAGCAAGACAAAAACAAGTACCTATTTACTATAGTTATGACAGGGAATTTCTCTCTCTTTCTATCTATCTCTTGAGGCAAATTAATGGGCATTAAATTAATTACAATATTTGATGTAATCTCGAGTTTTTATCTGCGAGAAGAGGTTACGTCTATTATGATAATTTATCGCTGAGTTTACGAAAAAAAAAATACCCACGAGATTTGCATACGCTTTTATGTGTGTTATTAAGGTTAGTGGAATTAACGAGGCCTCCCTTTTGTGACCTTTGTGACTAACGCCTGAAAACCAAAATTGTGCAACATAAAAAACGTAAAAAGATGCTCGTGACGGTTCATCAACGCGTCGGCCCTTAAAATTCATTTGTACGTTTTGAGATGTCGTGTTCGATAAAAAAGTATTAGAAGAGAAGTTTGATGGGATTTTTACGGCTCGGCGTGTTCGGATACATGTCCGACAATCGTTTAAATTAAAGATTACTGGATCTGATCGAAAAGCAAAACCGCCTCTCCACTTCACTCTTTTACTCTTCCATTCGTTGTTTACGACCCGAAATGTTTTACAATGTCGAAATGAGACGCTCTTGTGTTTTATTAACCGGGTGAAGGTATTTTTATTTACTAGACTTGATGACTTAATGATTAACTCTGTTAGTGAGATTCCACAAATCATTTAGGATGTTTGTGATACGATTCAGTTTTGTATAATAAAGGAAAATAGTAACATAGGTACAAAAAAATAATGAAGGAAAAAGGGTTATCTAAAATCGCATATATCTAAAAAAATATTAATTTTACAAAAAAGTTGTAAATCAATTATTTTTAGTTTTTTTTTATGGTGTACAAGATAGTTTTTGTAATTTTTTTATAAATAATATTGTTTCCGAGATACAGGGTGTTAAAGTTTGACATTGGTTTTAGACCTTTACTTTGCAAGGAAAATTTAAAACTATGGTATTATTCGTTATTTTTTAAGGATTTTAAAATGTAATATGACATTTTATTTCCAAAATACTATATTTTCAAAATATTTCTACAAAATAATTTTTTCTCATAAATTATAAGAGACATGGAGGCAAAAGTTAATATTACTTGGCCCCATAGTGCTAACTATGGATCTTATATTAACAACGTGTTATTTTAAAAATAATTTATATATTTATCAAAATATTTGAAAACTATAAAATAATTTAATAAAAATCATAGAAAAAAAGTTTAAACACACTCAAAAACTATTAGGAGTATATTTTTTGGGTTACTTGGTAAGTGTTATCTAAAATCTCTGATTTCTGAAAAAATATCAATTTTCCATAAAAGTTGTAATAAAATTATTTTTAGATTTTGTAATGTTGTACAATATAGATTTTGTAAATATTTTATTAATAATATGGTTTCTGAGATACAGGGTGTTAAAGTTTGTCATTGCTTTTAGACCTTTACTTTGCAAGGATAATTTAAAACTGTGGTATTATTCGTAATTTTTTAAGGATTTTAAAATGTAATATGACATTTTATTGCCAGAATACTAGATTTTCAAAATATTTCCACAAAAAAATTTTTCCCCAAAAAATGTAAGAATCATAGGGGTTTAAAGTTGTCAGTTACTTGGACCCATGGTGCTAACTATAAATAAGATAATAAAGTCAAAACCATTATAATTTTCACTTTTCATGCATAATTGCTAATAATAGAAACAAGATCAGCAGACTGTCTGTGAGACAGGCATAATTAGATTGATTTTTGATTCCATTGTATGTAAATTTTAATCGGGTCTATATAACACGTTTTGCTTTTACAAAACTACCTACAACATTCTGACCTGCTTACTTGTTTTTTTTGTCTTTTTTCTGCATAATCACCTGACGAGATGAAGTCATTTTTGTGTTTATGCAAATCGGCACTAACACACTGACTCATAGAGAAAAACAAAGTTTATATTTAGAACGATTTTTTCTCGAAATTATTTTCTTTGTTTAGTTTTAGTTTTAATAATTATTGTTTGAATACCTTGACCTTAACCCAGTAGTTTTTTCTTAAATAGAATGTTTTATTTCTTATTTCTTAAGGATATCAGTTAACTCACTAGTTTTACT